TGAGTTAACATCTCGCAATTTTGAATAAATTTTTTTTGAAATAAAATAAAAAATAGCTTCCATAGCTAACAGCTCCATAGCTAACAGATAATATAGCTTCCATAGTTAACAGTTAACTTGCAGAGAGGGGGGTTGTTTGATTGTACACGCAGGAAAAAAAGGTACAAAAGTTGTCAGTGGGGCGGAACCCTTTCAAAAGGGTTAATATGTACCATATAGGTACTAATATGGTACTAATAAATAAGCTACAAATCTATACCTATACCAGCTTTTTTCAATGAGTGTATGATGTTTTAGGTGTTCATGTCCAGCCAGTTGTATCGCAGCAGAGTGCTTGTCTCTACCTTACAACTTGGTAGGAATAGTTTCTTATTTCAGCTGTAGAAAGAATCAATCCCCTTTGGATGTCTTTTCCTGCACAGCAAGCTAAGCTTTTTTTAGCTAAGCTAAATTTTTTTTTTTTTTTTGCCACTGTGTTCTTTTAAGCAGTCCTGAATCTTTTGCCTGAGGCTGACAGATAGCTTTTTGTGTGAGTCTGAGGCTCCGTCCTCAGGCGATGGACTTGTAACAGTAGTATGTGAGCAGAGCTGTCTGTCATGCTGTCAAGGACTGTGTGTGTTCTTTGTGGCCAGTCTTGTGTGGGACCCTCGAGCCTGGAAAAGGGATGTGCCTGGCATCAGCGGTGAAGTTTATATGTGAAATAAAATAAAAGTGCAAAGGCCACAGTTATAAATATAACCCCACTCACTAGCGGTTAGGAGGTGTTAATCATTGGAACAAATTTGGAGAAGTTTAGCGTTACATTGCTTGCTCACCAATGGATTCTCTGCAGTGAATGTCTGCCATCAGACTGAGAGTAGAAACAGCTGATAAATACATCACAATAATCCAAAATACAACTCTAGTGAATCAATTAATGTAAATTTGAATTGAATAGCTGTGTGATTTATAAGAAACAAATCCATCATTAAGGCTTTTTAACTTAAATCCATTGCTTCTGGTCAAAATATGAGTCCATAATCCATAATAAGACATCCTCCAGTGAAAAAGTCCATCTTCTGTTGTCCTCTCACATCAAAATCCACTGACATATTTGTCTTGAACTTTTTTTGACTGTTTTTGCTTGTAAACCGTGCTTGGTCTTTGCATATTTCTCTCCTGATTCAGATTAGACAACAGTTTCACTGGAGAAAGCGGTATTACAGATAGAGGACTCGGGCTAATAATATAGCCGAAAGCAACGGTTTGAAGTTAAAAGCATTTTACTGATGAATTTGCTTTAACATGCAGCTTTTTGCTTCAGGAGATGTTGATTGATGGACTGGATTTGTGTGGATTATTGTGATGTTTTTATCAGCTGTTTGGACATTCTGATGGCACCCATTCACTGCAGAGGATTCATTGGTGAGCAAGTGATGTAATGCTAAATTCCACCAAATTTTCTCAGCAAATTTTCATCTTTGGGTGAACTATTCCTTTAATAAAAGTCACAAAATCCCAAAAATAAAATGTAGTAGTTTAAATGTTAGGGAAACTTTTGTGATTGAGGGTGGATGTGGTAAAGTAGGGGGCCTCTTTGCATATTTGGGTTGAATGTCTGCAGTCAATCACAGTGCCCAATCTTTAGGGTGGAGTGTTAGTGTAGGAGTGGAGATTAGAGACAGGACAAGACATAAGACAAACCTTTCCACCAGACAGGATACGAGATGTGGAGTGAAGCGATATGGAGTGGAAAGAAAAGACACGGTGGATGTCTTCAATCGCACAGACTGCTATCAATGTGTGTGAGAGAAATCCAAACCACTGCATACTCCGATAAATGATTTGTTGATGTTACTATTGATCTGATATTTGTGTCTGATCAGGGTCTGCTCACATTTATACAGTGTTGGGGAGTAACTAGTTACATGTAACGGCGTTACATTACTTTAACAAAGTAATTTAAAAAGTTACACTACTATGACATTTTAAATAGGGTAACTTGTAATCTGTAACCTATTACATTTCAAAAGTAACCTTCCCAACACTGCATTTATAGGCCCATAGGAGGTGTTCAGACTTACTTTTGCTGATCTTAGGTTTCAGTTAATTGCCATTTTAATATAATATTGTCATATCAGACATGTACAAAGCCTGAATGCCTGATGATAACTTCATTATCGTGCAGCGGTTCTTGTAAGAGCCTTTAGATTGGTTACTACTCCATGGAGGCCTGTTTGCAATCTGTTCTCATGGGCCTGCCTTTTTTTTTTTGCCCCGTCTTTGTGCCTGCTGTCCCATCATGCCTCTGACACCTATCTCAGTCCCTGCTTGTCAGCCTTTTAGGATTTCTTTAGCACAACTGGCACTTTTATGTTAATATGTAAAGAATTAAATGATTAAACTGAAGCTTTAAGATGTGTTACTGTAGATCCCTGCTTAGTCCCCACAGAGATTTTATTCACCTTCATTTTGAGTTAAAGGCTGGCTGATACTTCATATTGATTTCTGTGTGCCTTGTCTTGCTCTTTAGAAGTGATTTCACAAGTACTGCTTAAATCAGTTTTTTGTGAAAGATGTTTCATAGTCCTTCAAGAGGTCAAGATTTAAACAGGTCAGTTTGGGAGATTGCCCTTAATAACAGCATTATTAAAAACTTCACTTACAGCAGTTATATAAATTTAATTGTTTTAATTTTACTTCTTAAAATCAAATTTTTGAAATGTACAATTCTACATTCTGTTTGCTACCTCCGTTTTCAGTTCAAAGCCTGCAGTTGTGAACAGATCAGGGGACATGGTACAGTGTTTAGTTTTATTTATTTATTTATTCATTCATTTATATATACGTTTTATGTATTTGCATTATATGCATTTTATTCCTTTAATTATGTATAACTATTTTTTATTTTAAATGTACATGTAAAAATTTACAATTATGAAAGTCAGTACTCTATCCATATATAAACACATTTTATTCATTGTATGCATTTTAATTGTTTTAATTATTTATAAACATTATTTATTCATTCATTTATACATTATATAAACATTATATTTATTAATTTCAAATTTAAATGTAAAAATACTGACTTTTATAATTGTCACATTTTAAATTACTGTATTCATATATAAATACATTTGATTTGTTTTATACATTTTAATTATTTTATTTTATTTAAATATTTATTCATTTAAATGTAAAAATAATTTAGAAATGTGACAATTATGATAGACGTAATTGCTGTATCCATATATGAATCAATTTTATTTCATACATTTTAATTAATTATTTATAAATATTTATTCATTTAAATTTATAAGTAAACAACTGAATAACATTACAATAATAAAAGAAGTCCTGTATCTCTATATAACTACACTATACCTGTGTTATTTGCCTCTGCCTCTCTCCCTTCTGTCTCTTTCTCTCACTTTTTCTTTTCCAAACGCGCACACACGACAGAGATAACAGCAGCCAGAGGAGACTAATGAATAATGTAGAGTCCTGTCTCTGTGGTGCCATTACAAACTGTTGAGAATATAAAGTCAATATTTACAGAGTAACACAGCCATCAGTGTCTCTTTCTGTATATGTGTGTATAATTCAAAGTCTCTTACTGATGACCAAAACTCACTTTTTTTATTAGACTATTACTTTTTGTGCGTGAGGTGTAAGGTGTGTCTGAAGTGCCTGTTATGCGACACAGAGACAGGTGTGCTTTCTTGAGTTACAGTATTTGTGTCCTAGCATCAAGCCAAAAAACATGATGTCCTCTTCTTGTATGTGAATTGGTTAATCATGCTAAAAAGGAAGTGACAACATCTTCTGTCTCACGCCATAAGTTCATGGAGGAGCACATGTTGCTGTCTTCATGTGGAAATCAGACTAAAACATGCACAAAAATATGAATACTACCATCATTGTCATCGTACCTGCTTAAATTGAACCACTCTCTGTCTTGTTACACCTGTGTCCATATTTTTGGTAGTAACATTTTCCTGCAGTGTAAGAGAAAAGGGTGCTTGTAACCATGGTGATGCCTGCAGACATATTTATGACTATTCTTAAATTCATGCCCTCTGGCCTTCCTGAATACCTTCTTTTACCTTCTCCTTGTTCCAGCATAGCTCTTCTAACTGCTTTTTTGGTCCTCTCTGAGATAGATGGATAGCATGAATCCCACTCCTTTGGGACTTGTTCAGTGTGGTTGGAGAGCGTGGCCTGTATTTACCCCATGGTCACTAGAGAGCTGCTCCAGGTGGAAGTAATATCCGTATGTCTTTAGAGCTCTAAAAAGCATTCAAACCCCCAGAGATTCAGTGTCCTGAGTAGATTCTAACAGCTGATGTAGTGTTTTGAAAAAATCCCTGGAGAAGTCACACCAGGTTTTAGGGAAATTATTAATATGATCATTTATTCTTTGTGTGTGTGTATGAGAGTATCTTAGCCTGCCATGGCATGGTTATCTAAATCAGTCTGTATTAGTGTTTTTTTGTTTGTTTACTTATTTTATTTGCTTATTTTTGTTATTATTTATTTATTTTCATTTGTTTTTAGTGTTTATTATTTTTTATTTATTTGTATGTTTATTTTGTTATTGTGTTGTTTTTATTTATTCATTCATTTATTTATTATTTATTTATGTTTGCATTTATTTGTGTTTATGTATTTGTTTATTTTATTTTTTTTTGCATTTATTTATTTTCATTCATTTATCGTTTTATTTTCTTTTGTTTTTAATTTATTTATGTCTGTTTTTATTAGTGTTTATTTGTTTAGGTTTTATTAATTTTTGTCTGTTTTTGTTTATTTTTAACTTGAATAAAAAATGAAAAAAAAAAGATTTTTTTATAAGTAATGTTATAAGACAGACTTAATATATTGTTTTAAAATGTGTTCATTCTTTTATTATATCAGTTTAACATTTCCAGATATAGCCAGAAGTTTAGTATTGCTAGTTTGTCGCAGGAGACCGTTATTTACAAAAGCTTACTCTCATTCATTTGTTTCACCGGCAGCATATCCAGATGACCATCCAGGCCCTCCAGGACGAGCTGGGGATCCAGAGAGATCTGAACCAGCTGTTCCAGCAGGACTCCAGCGTTCGTCCTGGCGAGCCCCTGACCGCCGAGCTGACTGAGGAGAACTTCCAGCGGCTGCACGGTGAGCATGAGCGGCAGGCCAAGGAACTCTTCCTCCTGAGGAAGACTCTGGAGGAGATGGAGCTGCGAATCGACACGCAGAAACAGACACTGTGCGCCCGAGACGAGTCCATCAAGAAGCTCCTGGAGATGCTGCAGAGCAAAGGGCTGTCGGCCAAGGCCAACGAGGAGGACCACGAGCGGACACGTAGGCTGGCCGATGCCGAGATGCATATCCATCACCTGGAAAGCCTTTTGGAGCAGAGAGAGAAGGAAATGGTCTTGCTGAGGGAGGTAAGAGCACTGAGGAAACTCATAAAACCATCATACAACACTTATGCAACCTTTAAACCTCTAAACAGTTAACTCTCCTTTTTGAACATAGACGTGAAAATGCACTATCCAAGCTTAAATGGTTGTAATTCCTGAATGCTTTGTAATACAGTTGGTCTCTTTTTAAAGAAGACAATCAGCAGATTATTGCTGAAGTGAAAGCATTTCAAAAAATAAAAAAGTTATAGAAGTTCACTGTAAAGAAAATGTACTTTACTAAAAACAAAAACTTTAAATAAATATATTATACTAGTTATTTATTTTTATTATTTTCATATAAAATACCTAAATAATAAATATAATAATAATTCTAAAATAAAAAAACGAAAACTACTATAAAATCAAAGCCATATGTCAAACTAAGTTATGTTCCAAATTTGAAGTTGATATCACAAAAATTGTGGTTCCTGTGAGATTTTGTTAAGGCACTATACCAAAAATAGCCACCGGGTGACACCCAAACTCCACTGATTTTTTAAAAGTATTTTCCTGTCACAAATGTATAAATTTCTATCACAGTATTACTTCTGTCTCAAAATAGTCACCAAATATGGACTCTTGAGACTCAGACCTTTCCAACAATACATGTTTTGTCAAGATTAGATTAAGTTTTGAGTATAAAATATTGTATTAACATGACACTTGACATCGCCCACTAGGGGGAGGAGCCAGCTAAAAGAACTGAAAGTACCATTTCCATGGTAACGGAATGTCCAATTTCAAAACGGTTTTCACAGGATGAATTTTGAGTGTCAAATAGAAAAGTGTATACAATGCCATTCACTAGCATTAGGTATGTCCATTTAGCAACATTTAAACGACTATTTTGGATTGAATAACAGAACCAAACAGCTGCTCTGGGAACGATGCAGACAGCACTTGGTCATTTATCCAGAGAGGATTTGCAGTCAATTGTTTTCATGAAGACTCCCAATTATTTTGATGATGAATCAAGGGCTCTAGATTAGTCATTTTAAACTGCGCCGGACGAGCAAGCTTACGAGAGAGAACGAGACAGGGAAACCTTTCACAAATTGAAGGCATTGAACATTGTTGCTATAGAAACGGGAGAGACTGAAAAGAACATTGATGAAAGGAGACACAGATGTTGCTGAGAGCAAAAACTGTTAATGTGGCGGGAGACACATTTATCACATTTAGTTTAGTAGTTTATCTCGAGGAGTGAAGCTGATTGAAGTTTATTCAAGTTCAACTGAATTTCCCAGTCAGATTTGTTACATAAGTTGTTTAGTTTGTAATACTTAACCCGGAAGAGAATTAGCTTTTGAGTCAAGGGTTCCCTTGTGAATTTGATTTATAAGTAGGATAAGAGACATTCATATTTTGTTGACAGAAATGTGATCATACTTTAGTTGTTGAATGTTGCTAATAAGTTGGACTGAGTTTGTGTGAGTTTCTCTCCTTGATGAATCAAGCAAACTTTTTAGTGCTAGTTTGCTATTTGTATCCTTTTATGTTTGTCAGATGCGATACTGTCAGGAGGCTGATATAGTGGTTATGTAGTTTTGAAAGGAGTTCTGTCTGGCAATCTCTCTCTTTATTTTTGTCAGGCTTCTTCTAAGACAGCCAACAGTCAATTGCAGGATTTTGGTGACAGTGACATCTAGTGGCCAGTTAGTAAAATGGCACAATCAACTCTAACTAGGGCACACACGACTTATCACATTTTGTCAACTGGTTGTGGGAGAAAATATGCAGGACTTTGAAAGGAATTGATACATAGAGCTGACAGTACTGCACTCCTATTGGTA